CAGACCTGGGATTAGAAACATCGTTCGGATTGGAGGCTGGACAGAGGTAGGCTGAGGAGACTCAACATTTAACTAAACATTTAATTCAATCCTGCAGGGTTAGGGTTAGTACCAGTCTGGTACCAGACCGGTACCAGACTGGGACTGGACTGGGACTGGACTGGGACTGGACTGGGACTGGACTGGGACTGGACTGGGATTGTCCCAGCAGGGAAGAAGCTTCCAGGGACTGAGACAGAAGGAGCAGGAGGAGAGGAGGAGAGGAGGAGTGGTGGTTTAGTCCTGATGTTGGTGTGTCTTCACACATATGGACCTGATAATCCCTGACCGGGTCAGTCCTGCTCTGGGTCTGGACCTCCTCAGGGTGCTGCTCCTCCTCACCTCCTGACTCCACTGTGAAATGAACTGATGATCTGCTGTCAGTAAGTGTTGATAAAGCGGGGGGTCGGGGGCTGAGGGGTGGGTGTGTGTGTGTGTGGGGGGGTCCAGACCAGACCATGTACCTGCTGTACTCCTACATCAACATTGATTTCCCATCATGCTCAGACGCCGGCATCACGGTGTCCGCTGAGGGGTGGGTTTCAGCTCTCCCTTTCTCTCTCCCTTTCTCTCCCCCCTCCCTCTCTCTGCCTCAGTCTCTGGTTTCCTCCATCTTCCATCCGGACACCCCCGTCCTCCCACCTCCCTCTCCCGCTCTCTCGTAGCGGGACAGCCCCCGTCCTCCCATTCATGACACACCCTTTTGCAGCAGCAGCTGCTCCTCCTGCGTAAAAAGAGGAGGAGGAAAAGTGGGATGAAGCTAAAGAGGAGGGAGGGGGGAGTAAAGGGGGGAGATCTGGGGCCAACGCCGGAGAGCTGACATGAATCCGTGTGGTGTTGTAGAGTATTTGAAGCTCAGCTCCGTGACTCCTCCGTGGAGGAGGAGGAGGAGGAGGAGGAGGAGGAGCTACGATTGTTTGTGAAGCTAAACGCTGGCATTTCCTGCAGACTGCTGCAGCGCGGTGCAGGAGTGGGTTGGTTTGTCGCAGGTGACAGGAAGTTGGACACTGTCAGTTGTCGTGAAAAGCCCAGTGGAGTGTCTCTCCAGCGCCACCTATTTCTCCACATAAACACTGCAGTTTCCCTGAAATATCGCGATACTCGATCAATATTCTTTATCACTGTATTGATTTTCTTAGTAACAATTAATCGTCAAATATTCATGGAGTTCAGGGACTCAAACCAGGGACGTTCTTGTTGTAAGGCAGCAGCAGTAACCGCTCCTCCCTGGTACTGCATGTGTAGGAGTTCTCTGAGGATTATTTTTTTTCTGTCTGTAGTGACTCATGTCTTATATAATGACGACCCAGCAGCGGCAGCACAGGCAGCAGTGGCTCTCAGTGAGGTCAGAGGTTCGACTCCAGTCTGTTTCTTTCAGTCTGATTAAATGACCTGCTGGTCTGGTCCAGGTCAGTTTAAGGTTCTCAGAAGTTAATTAAAAAACAGGTTTAAAGAAACAGAGAGAGGAGAGGTCAAAGGTCACCCTACTGGAACAGCGCCCCCTATTTAGCATCTTCCCTCTGGGGGACTGACCTGTTCCTGGACGAAGGTGGACAGTGACGTTCTCGTACTCCTGGAGGAACTACTTGGTTTCTGGAGAAAAAACTGTTGAAAATACTCATAGTATTTGTGTGTATTTGAGTACACGTTCAGATTTACTGTGTTTTCTTTATATTTACTGTGTTTTCGTTCCTCGGTGAAAAACTTCTCCTCTCTGACCGACCCCCGACCTCAGATTTATGGCCTCTGCTAGCACCGCAGCATTAGCGCTCACACAGGCAGTAAGCTAATGGCTCTGTGGAGCGGTAATGTGAGGGGATTGGAACCCACTTCACTCTGATCACTAAAGCACTAAGAGCCTCTTGAGCACCCCCCTGTGGCCCAGGTCTCCTGTGGACTGTGATGTCATTTATTTTTAATTATCACTCACTGGTACAGGAGACCAGACTGTAATGGTTTCTGTTGGTCTGGGGATTATAACACAGAACCAGGTCCAGGTCCAGGTCCAGGTCCAGGTCCAGGTCCAGGTCCAGGTCCAGGTCCAGGTCCAGGTCCAGGTCCAGGTCCAGGTCCAGGTCCAGGTCCAGGTCCAGGTCCAGGTCCAGGTCCAGGTCCAGGTCC